GAGTCGGATGTCGATTCCAAAGGGAATACTCAAATTACCTAATTCTAAGTTCTGAATTCTAATAATTATGATTTTTATCCAGCCTACGCAAGGTTGTCAAATTTAATCAACTAAATAATTAAACTAATTATGAAAGCAAATAATCACGAGAAAAATATCAATAAAAATGGATCTAGGATTTTATCTTCCCCTATGCGATAATTCATCACCCAATTAAACCTCTATCATGCAAGTTGCCATTCCCGATTATTAACCCGAGACACGAAATTACGTATAACCCGTTGTCGCGTGTATTATAAGTCTATTATTCATAAACAGTTAACTATATGTCTATGCAAACCAATTATCAATAAAGCATTAACTAACAAGTCTCTTAAACGGCTACCTAAGGTGATATATGTATGTCTACGACTACACATGCAATTGACACATTCATCCGGTGAAAACTACTCGAAGGCTCTTCTATCCATGTTTTAATTATTAAAACGATAGGTCGATTCAATTCTAATAATAACACATAGCAACATAAATTAGCTAGGTTCATGCACTAAATAAGATCAGATAGAAGAAATAATCATAGAATTTAAACTTGCATAATATTAGAAAAATAGGTTCGAATCACCACATAGGGTTCTAATTATAAAATCCCAGACCAAAAACTTAGCTACTCATGTTTTCTACAAAAAACATAATAAAAATACGAAAATTCATAAAAGTATAAAAGAAAAGTAAAAGAAGAACTATAATGAAGTTCGTCAAGTCTTCGTCTTTGATTCTCCGTTCTCTTGCTCTAAGATTGTGTCTAAAATATCCTCTAAGTCATGCTTATCTTTGCATTTTTAAATAGATGCTTGTCTTGGTAAGAAAATTCGGGTTTCCTTGTATGATTAAAACTCCAAAATTGCGTTCAGCATGTTTTTGCACGGCCGCGCGAGAATCAATGCAATTCTCACACGGCCATCTCAAATATTATGCCCAAATTTTTTAGTTGGCACGCTTGTGCCAGAAATAGGCTATTTTTCACACGGCCGTGCCAGGCTAATTTGCAGCCTCCAATTGTTTTCCTCCGTTTTTGCCCGTTTTTAAACTTTTTTCGCTCGTTTCATCCTTGAATTTCCCAAATCTTCAAGTTGTACCTAAAATACAACAAACCAATAATGAAGCACCATAAAATCAATAAAAATATACAAAATCCTCGTAAGAAAGTATATATTGAGTTTAAAATATACACTCAACACACCCCCAAACTTGAACTTTTGCTTGTTCTCAAGCAAAAACTAGCAACTTTCAAAGCAACACTTTCAACAAATGCATCTCATCACATAGAACGATGGTCAACTTCGCGTTTTCAGAACTTGCAATTATCATGACAATGCTAAAAAAATTGCCAGCTTGCAATTCAAAGATACATATTCACTTACCATTGCTAAAAACCACAAACCATGCCATTGCTTCAAGTATCCCATATTTGTAATCTAAAAATGGAGAAAATTTATACTTACATAATAATATTCGACTCCAAAGACTCACCAAATTTCTTTACTCGACTAATATCAAATAATTGAGCTATTGGGATCATTGGGACTTTTCGGGTTTCAAATGTTGAAATTTTGGTACAAGGTAGAAAATATGGGTAAAAGTGGCTACTCTTCTCCTTTCATCTCACAAGTAGTCACTAAGAGTTGCACTGAAAGAATTTTTAGCTCCCGTTCTTGACTCGAGGGGTTTTCGCTAAGATTTAGCGTTTGGAATTTTTGTTTCACCTCGAAGGACTTATTACCTATCTCGATTTTTCTAATAGTTCAAAAGTCTCCACTTTTGCTCTTAACATGATGGTTCGAGTATTTACTTTGAATTTTTTTTATTATTTTTTTTTTCAAGTCCTTTCTTCCCCTTCTATTCCTCTTCTTCTTTTTCTTTATTAGACTATTCTCTCTCTTTTTTTTACGAAGAAGACAAACGTAACAAATTTTCCAACCAAGGTTCAATGGATAATTTATCAAGAAATCACCATCTAATCTACCCACTTTATTTCGGCTAAAAGAAAGAACACCGTTTCTCCAAGGCTCAATCAAGGTTTGAATGATAAAAAATTAAAGGTAGGCTTGAAAGGCTCAAATGGTTCAAAGATGGCCCAAGTCACTTCCCAATTTTCTCAACAATTTAATATTTCACTATGTAAATTCCTAAGGCAAGTTCAAAAAACCGAATAGTATATGATATAGCATAAATTAATTCCACGTTTTAAAACACAAAACTTTCACCCAAAGCAAGGCATAATTCGTGATTCCTAAATGTTAGAGTAGGTGACCAATAAGCCAACTTGTGGCTATAGTCTTTCAATTTATTCTTGTAATAAATAATCATTTTTCGTATTAATGATAAAACACCTTGGTATTATATATCTTTGTCCCTTGTTCAAACATAGATATAGTCCTTACAGTTATTACAATTACTTGTAATTGATCTTTTAGGATCGTGAGATATTTACTTAAGTATTATAACTGTTAAACCGTGTTCCTAGTCCAAGGGTTACGCCACCAATGAAGATATCCGCCTTTCCCATTAAGAGACTAGAACTTAGTGTATGTGTACTGCGTCTCATCAGTAAACGGTATTGTAATATCGGCATGCATAAGTGGGTGCTCGTAAGTTGACGAGTTCACTGAATTCCCTCATCCTATAAATCTCTAAGTGGTTCTCAATAATCGATTAGAGATCTCTATGGTATAGTTGTACACCATTAGTCCTTACGACATAGACATCACCATGGCTTCACTAGAAGACCAGCTGTATCGTATTCTGTCCCTGAGTTCCACCGAGGACCTCCCCAAGGGCCAGTGTTCGTGCAGTCTGAAATCTAGTAGGAGGTCTGTGCATTGTAGTCGGGGATTCGATCGCTAAAGTAGTCTTGGATGTCCTGTGTGTTCTCATAGTTTGTAATCTTTAAGTCTCTGGCCAGAGCAGACTAAGTGATGATTAGGGAATTCGATTATCTAAGTCACGCACGTACCGATTACAACACTTAGAACGATCGCACAGTTATTGAACTACAACGGAGGTCTCGATGAACCAATGCCTCTAATTCAATCGAGACATATGAATCGAAGGGATTGTATTGTACGTTAACTCTATCACACGGTTCTTGCAGGCACTTCATTTGTATCAAGGAATCATGATGCGTAGTTGCTAGACGCCAATCTTGATTCGTTGGGTGATGAAGTTGAAACGAGCTTCATCTTAATTGTAACTCTACGGACGAGTTTAAACCACAAAGAGTTGTGGGCCCACGGCTAGCTTATACCTGAACCATTGAGAGTCACACTACTTGTGTACTCAAGTTCTTTGAATAAACAGATAAAGATAAAAATGTTTAATCTTTGCATAATTGGAAGTCAATACGATTGAGTCCAACATTCATAATTGGGAATTATGAATGAAATAAGAAAAGGAAAGAACTGGGCGATTATCTTAGTGAACTTTCTAAATTGGGAAGTTTCCAAATTTAGCAGGTTCACTGAATTAGGGTTTCCAGTTTTATAAATTCGAAATTTCTCATTGGAATTTGTAATGACGAGGACGTTTCAATGATTCCAAAAATGTAATTGTTAAAATTTTCCGATCATTGGTTTATGAGAAACGAGCGAAGAAAAACTAACGCACTTAAGCTATTGGGCCCTGTCCAACTTAAGCCCGTTAGGGCTTATATACAAGACACTATAAATACAAGATTTATATGTCTTGTATTCAAGAGAGAAAAACCCTAGCCGCTCATAACTCTGGTCCGCTGATCTCCACCGCGTCGCCGGAAATCGGCGCCCCACACACCGTTTGTTCTTGGTATTCTTTTCCTTGTTTTATTCTTCCGTTTATTCTGACTTTTGCGTGTCTAGTGCCACGTACTAGTTGAAATCGGTATACGAGGTGAAATCCGAGAGGAGAAAGACAAAGGAGTCAAATTGCCGAGAACCCTCGCCGAACCGCCGCCGCAGGCGCCGCCCGAAGACATCGCGTGAACTACACGCGCCCCCGCTGCCCGCGGGTCCGTCTCCGCTGCTCCTCCCTGTTGCACATATAGGTTTCCGTTGCAGTTTGCATCAATCCGAAAAGTTCGCCTCACGCTTCATGAGGTAATTTTCGGATCCGATTTTTAATAAATGTTAATTTCATATGATTAAATTAAATGTTTATATCTGCAGTATGTTTTTCATGAATGTTGTTGTGTAATTCTCAATGCATGACTCGTGGTTTACTGCGAGCATGATAAGTGATTTAATTATCGAATTAATAATATGCATGTTGATTTTAAATTTTGTTGGAAGCATTAAGGTACGCAATTAATTGCTATTATCGAGTACGTGTTTATATGATTGAATTCGTTTTTTATATAAAAATTTTGTTTTCCGCTGCGTACACGTGCCCGATTCCCAACAGGAAGGTGACGCCACAACTAGTCAGGTGTTTTCTACCCTTAAACTTTGTGCTAATTTACCCGAGCTTTCCGACGATGAGGAGGAAGGTAACACCCACGACTAGTCACGTGTTTTATATCCTTAAACTTTACGCTAATATCATTGAGGGCAATCAAAATTTGTTAGGGGTGAAAATCACTTTTAGATTTTTATTTGTGTTTTAGTTTGCATTCCTTAAAATTTTTATTTTCTTTTTAGTTGTTTTAGTTTTTATTATTGCTTTGATTTATTGCTTTTTCTCAGACGGCTGTCCCGAGTTTCGAACTAAAACTCGAACAGACATCTCGTTCTGCATAGCGAACTTCGAAAGGATTTGAACTCGGACGGTCTACATATATATCTATGATCCAAGGTGTTTGCTATTATGAAACTCAGAGGTAACAGAAAAAAAGAGAGAAATACTAGAACCAAAATAATAAGCAAATAACTTGCAAGAAAAATAGCAAGAATAACAAAACTATCATATAAAAACAAGATGAAAAACAATGAAATCAAATCACCTCAAATAAAATAAACTAAACACACTAATCAATGTTGTAAAAGCTTGAGAGCCTTCACTAAAGTGCCTCTAAACCTCCGAGCATCAATGGTGACATTCTGGTTATCCAAGTAAATTGACCTAAGTTGACCCCACCCGTTCCTATGGAACGACAACGGATCCCTCAAAACCGGATGGTCAATCGGATACTGTCGAAATAAAGAACTCTCTTCGATTTTGATCTTGTATTCCACATACCTTATGTTCATACCAGAAGCAGGGTTTCCGAAATCAAGCTTAGCAAATCCATCAATCCCTCCCAACGGAACCACTTGAATCAAGATTGCATTATCGGGCAAGAAAACCATGTTCGTTAATCCAGCTCCGTGTACTCCCATCAAAACATCGCAAGAGTTCACAATCTGCGCAAACGCTGTCAAGTTGGCGGAAATCTCGGGTTCCGCTAAAACAACCTCGTACCCTAGCTTTTTCGCCACTCGGGTAATTTCGGCCTCGTTTGTTAGTATCCGTGTACCTTTTCTCGACACTATCATGAGACGGGGCCTTGTGGTTTGAGGACCCTTTTTCCTCTTGATGGATTTAGTTCGTTCCAGCGAGTACGTTTTTCGGAGAAATTGCCTGAAATTCTGCATGGTGATTGTTGATGAAGAAGAAGAGTTTTTTATGACGAGTTCGCTGTAGAACTTGACGCCAGCTGTCATTTTGTTGTAGCAGTTTACGACTTGCGTTTCTCTGTCTATGTCGACTAGTTCGTGGCTGGTTAGCTTGTCGATTAAGGGTCGGAATTTAGAGTGCCACCATGGCTTGTAATCGCTCGCGAGAAAATGGACTTGCTTTTTGAAATGAAATGATGTTGAGAATAATGGCACTAATATATCGGCGAAATCGTGGAAGTGGTTTCCCGAGAATCCTCCGATGGAGAAAAGGACAGCTGGATGGTTGTGGGTTCTAGAACATTCCGGAACTCTTTTATCGTCGTTCGATACCAATGTAACTGTCCAATTCTTGACGTATAGAATTCCCTTTCTTGGGTAAGGCTGTATGATCCATGAAGTGGTGATCGACGGCTGTGATTCAATGATGGAACGATGTGTGACTAGATATACGGTCGATGAGTTGGCGTCCACCCTTATGTCGCCTTCCATCTCACAATAGTCTGCATTTGCCTCCAAAATTCTGCACAACGGCTCTATTTCTTTGGTTTGAATTTCTGAGGAATTATTCAACAAGAGGAAAATAATTAAGACACGATCAATATAGAGTTTGTTGCATTTAGTATCCTTGTGCCATACCGAATTGCGAAAAACTCCTCGTGCTATAAATATTTGCAAAAAAACCCATATGATACGATGCATTATTTTAGCATGCAACCCCCCTAAATAATAACCCGCACGTGCGGTATTAGGGTGGTTTGCTAATATTTTTAATATGGGGAGTTTTTTGACAATTAGAGTAAACACAGGGGTGCTAAATGCAATAAATCCGATAAATATATATATATATATATATATATATATATATATATATATATATATATGCATATTTTTTTAAGACGAATGTTATAGCTTGGTCTAGATATATAGTTGAAGTTGATTTTCCAGTTAAATATACCTATTTCTGGAGAGATCGTATTTGTTTCGTTGACGACAAGCTTGTCTTGAGTAGCACTGATCGACATTGGCTGATTTGCAACGCTGCCAACTGAAACAAAGAACATATATATGATCAAATGCTTGAACTATATATATATATATATATATATATATATATATATATATATATATATATATATATATATATATATATATATATATATACACACAATTTTATTATATTTATGGCTTAGAGGTTAATTTACCATACCTATTGGTTGAGATATCGTATTAATGGTTTCGTTGACGACAAACATTTTTTGAGTAGCACTAATCGAAATTGATCGATTTGTAACGCTGCCAACTGAAGCAACGAGCATATGATCAAATGCTTAAAACTCAAAGTTGGAAACTTATACGTTAATAAAATTGACAACATTAGTTTACTAATTAAACCTGTTAGCTTGGAGTTGTCACGATCATTCATTTCATCGTCAATTACAAGCATGCCTTCAACGGCATCGATCGACAGCTTCAAATTGACAGTATCGCCAACTGAAATTAACAACAAACAAAAAAAATATCAAAATTATCGAATTTCGTATCAAATATTTCAAAGTGATTAGCAAAAAGTTAGTAAAAGGACTTACTCAGTGATGAGGGATGCATGTTAGGCTTGGAGGTTGAGCAAATGCACAAAGCAATAACGGAGCTCAAAATTAGTGCGCAACATCCGAATTTTCTTCGCTCGTATCTACTAAAACTTTTCGAGAATATCGGGTCGTACATCTTTTTACTTTGCTATATGAAATTGCTAATTAATTAGCCATTAATTATGTGCTTAAAATTGAACTCTTATTGAAGTCAAGAGGAAGAATAAATGGCTACCATAATTATATTTGATCTTTATTTTTCATTTTTTTATTTTTCATCCTAATTAGTGATAATGACTCAAAATTATTGTTGAGTATATGTACAAAATATATTAGTGTGAGAGTTGAAAATGACTTGTGTGTGAATGGCAATTGGAAATAATTGTACTGGTTTCTTAGTGTTTAGGTGGTTGTTTTATTATTTTATAAAGGTATTGAAAGGGGAATTGCAACTAAAACAATTAATAATATATTTAGTTAGTGAGATTATATGAAAGATTAATTATTTGTGGGTGCAATAAGTCTTTTGTGAATGAGTACAAAATTGGTAGCTGGTGAGAGAAATATGATATTAAGAAGCGTGAAGCGAAAGTGAGTTAATAAACTAATCTTGTCAATTTTATTAACATAGAAGTTTAATTAATTGAGTTAACAAACTCAATTGACCCGTATTCAGATCACATTGCCAACGGTCGCTGAATCGAGATTGTCACACATAGTTAGCCTACTGTGATTTACGTCTCTCGTATGTTTTGCAAGTTATTATACAAGAGTGTAGATTTACCCAATGATTGTGGATTCTTTGATTACCCAAAAAAAAAAAGTCAGATCACAAAGATGGAAGATTTTGTTAGCTCTTTCTTGCCCCGGTATCACCATTTATTTTAGGGTTAAATACATTTTGCACTCCTGAAGGCTGAAGTATAGCATATGTAACACTTACCCCCTCTCAACATCAAATATCTTATATCTTAAAATTAAAACATAATAAACATAACAATCTAATAATTATTGGATCATAAAAATTGAAAAGTAACTAAAATTAAATTATTGGAAAAAAATAGGTAATAAATATTGTATAATAATGAATGAAAATATATTTTAAGATATTAATGAACTAAAATAAATCTAAATACTTAAGATTACTATTATTTATGTATTGATTTCTTAAAATTCATCGATAGGAATATATTCGATTAATTGGTCCAATAACAATTAGATGTTATTTATTATATATGTCCCCAACATTACAAGATAATATTTTTAAATTTTAAAATATTGCATTTTTCAGCAGCTATTTTTGGTTGTATAATTTAATCATTCTTTCAGTTATTATTTTAAATAAAAAAAGATTTTTTTAAGGTTTTAGGATTTAAAATACAAATTAAATTGAGGTTGACGGGGTAAGTGTTACAGATGATACTATAGGGGTAAGTGATACAGATGGTATATATTAAGAGGTGTAAACTGTATTTAACACTTTATTTTATTTTATCATATATTGAAAATTTTATAAAATTTAGATGTTATTTTATTTTATATTGGCCTATAAATAAACAAATTAAAAATGTTAGGAATTAAACAAAACTAGTGGGTGTCGGTGGAGAAGTGAGTGATGAAGCTAATAAGCAGTAGGCAGTGAGTTGCAATCCCACACAGCTGAAAGGGTTTTGCATTACACATATATAACAACTTCTCTGACATCACGTGTGGAACCAAAATAAGAAATATACAAATTTAATTGTTTTCTTTTTCAATTAAATTAATAATGGATTTTCTTTTTCTTTTTTTTTTATAATTATTGGGGCAAAAATTTATTAGTTTTTGTGTCTTCTTTTGTATTTTTTTGTGTACAATCACAGGCACATGTACTACAATTTATATTCAACTCTTCTTTTTTTTCTTTTTTTGTTTTCTTTTTTCTGTTTTTGTAAAATTCGGTCATAACATGATGCTAATCAAATAATCACAATTTTTATTTTTATTTAGAAATAATCACAAGTTTCTAAATATGTCAGTATGGTTATATTTAAACGCCGAATTAACTAAAAAATGCCTCATAATTTATTTTTTGGAATGATTAATATGTTTTTAATATCATTAGCCGATGGTATATATTTTTGTTTTAGGGCAAATTACGGCCAGCCCCTAGGTTTGCCCTTTGTTTTATTTACTAAATTCATCACTAAATAGCAGTGTTCTAACCATCGGCCGAAACATCGAGCTGATTAATCGATCTTCGAGGTGGGCGGTCCAAATGCCTTACGATTGATATATAAAGGTTTGAAAATCGAATTTTAATTTGTAGGCGGTTTGAAGCGACTTGAGGCGGTCAAACCTTGACAGTGTAAGATGATATAACATCAATCCCTGCATCCATAACTTATTGCACCACCCATACTTTGACTTCTTTTTAATTTGCACCACACCCAAAATATATAACATCGATCATGTCATCCATTAATAACTTAGGTTTTAATTTTGAAAAACTTCAATTTTGCACCACTCAATTTTGAAAAACTAAAATTTAGCACCACTTAATTTCATTGCTTAATAATGTTTATTTATTACACACACCGGATGCTCAATTGAAATATAATATTGATATGGTCCGAGAGTTTCCATCTTTATGGTAAAATATAAATTGTATAAATTATCATCGACACCTTAAAAGTCACCAAATTATGATTAAGCCCTAATTTAATCTATATTTCACCAATTCTAATCCTTGGCCAACTTTGACCTTGATTTTAACCCAATTAATTTTAGGGCGGTGGTCAAAATCATATTAGGGGTTAAAACTGGTGAATTGTGGTTTAATATCATAAATTGGGTGTGTATAAAGGATTGGGGTGATTGTATCATAAATATTATGTTTGGTATTGTTAGTAATACATGTTGAAGGAGTGAGTTTATATGCGAACGAGAAAAATAAGATATTATTGCTAAATTAAGTCCTTCCGTCAGGGACCTCCAACAAAATAAACCATAATATTAAATATAAATCTTCAATTTTAATTACTTTCAAGAAAATATATGAAAATAAAGAAAAATTGGACATACAAAAGTGAACGAGGTTATTTTAATGAAATTATATTGGCCTATGTGAGATCAATATTAATTAATAATTTTTAGAAAAATGTTGTTTGTATACCTACTCAAATTGACTAGCGAATTATAGTGATGATCATGCGACTATGAGGTAGAAGGCATTATTAATTATTATTAAATATGGAGTTAGTTGAAGAGAAAAAGGGACATCTAAACAAATATTTGTCTCTCAGCTCATGGAAATATTTCTTTTTGCAATTTGTTTTCTAATATAGACGATAACATCATACCTAAATGGTTCAATTTAATACATACAATTATTTGGGGGATTCAACCTCCGTTTATATCCTCTTTTGAGTGCTTAGTTTTCTTTTTGTAAATTAGGAGAACCCCCTTGAGATAGGGACTGATTACCAAAATTTCTCTCATATTTGTGTGATTACGAAAAATTCCTCTAACTTGAGTTTGACGGTATATTCTAACAAAACTTGTATTTTCTCTATTTTCCCTTAAGAAATCTAAGCTAGAAAATATATATATTGAAGCCCCTTAAACCCCTCAAACGGTATTTAAGCCCCTCAAACGGTAACAATAATGGTTATTATTATGGGTGGGGTACAGGAAAAAGATTGTTTTTTTTTTTTCAATGGTTTACTTATAGGGGACGGCTAAAACAACTACATTTTCTTTCTCACTTCAATACCACCAACATAAAAAATAGAAAATAAATAGGTAATGACATTAATTTGAGAATTACCCTGAAGCCGCTGGCGCACCTCTCTAACTATTGTATGCCCAACACTTATTGGCTAGCGGTTGCATTAATTTGAATTTTGGATGGGTAAAATACTAAATATTGAATGGGCTAAAAAAATGAGTAAACTGTAAAAATTACCCCTATGTAATCTCCAAATAGCAAAAAACCCCCTGTGATAAATAAACTAGCAAAAACCCCCTTGAGAAATTTAGTCAAAGGCAAAAAAAACCCCGGTTGACTTACGTGTGGCTCACTCGCGGGTTGCGCGACTAGCAGTTGGTTTTTAGACGTGAAATGACGAAATTGACCATAAAAATGTATTTATATGTATATTTATTATATGTATATATATTTTTCCTTTTAATTTGATTGTTTAGAAATTAAAATATTGTTAAAAAAATAGTAAATAATAAAATTGAAAAATTATAAAAAATTTGTTAATCAAATTAAGTATAGATTTTTTTAAATACATAATAACGGAATTTAAGTTTTCTTTTGATGTAGAGATAATTTAAAATATATACCAAAAATTATGTGATAATAAAAATAGAAATTAATTAACGGCCCCATTGTATCTTTATAATTAAGATATAACAAAAATAAAATAATTAAAATATTTAAAAAAATATGAGAATTTATTAATTGCAAAATTCCGTGGGTATTTGTGTCTTTTTATATGAAGTCAACGCTCAAATAAGAAATGACCCGAATGTGCTATTTAAATAATTTCACATGGAGTGTTTGCTAGTTTATTTTTCATAGGGGAGTTTTCGCTATTTAAAAATTACATATGGATAATTTTTGCAGTTTACTCCTAAAAAAATATAAGTATAGTATAATATTGAAAAAGAAATTAAATGTTGGCGGGCTTGAGTCCACCATTGACAAAAGGTGAACTATGCCCTAATTTTCAAAAAATGCAAGTACACATATCATAAACAAGTAGTTAAGTTGACTCGTGAGATTTGAGATGTCGAACTCATAGAAAGCGTGAATTCATTTCTACTTCTGAGTATCTAAAATAACGTCTCCAGTTATCTAATCTACGAAAAGCAAGTAAACATGGTTAAGTTTAAATATGTTAAAATTGGTAATCGGGAAAACTTGTAGGAGTGCATGTTTATGTAATCACATTAAATCTTGTCAAATATTAATAGAGTTTAGAAGATTGATTGAGTGTGATAGGATTTTATTGTCCATGATAATGTAATAATGTATCTTATGTTTGTAATTTGTAATTATATAATATAAGCCCATCAACCCTATAATTCTTGTGAATAGGTCTCAAACACAATTTCTTTACTTAAAAGCCCATCCATGAGTAAAAAAATCTTAATCTTTTTAATACACATAATTCAAAATTTAAAACATATATTATCCCGCAAATTCATCTATTGGCTTCTTTTTTTTTTTTTTTTTATCGTTGACCACCATGGACCGCAATTGACCGGTCCAATTTTATTTTTCTTGCCTTCATTCCATTATTCAGCTTTCCAGTCAACGCAGCATAATATAATAGTGGTCAACGTAGTACTGTCAACACAGCAAAATAGCCAGTAAAAAAATAAATTAACTGTTAATAGTATGATCATAATAGCGGTTAACATAGTATAATGGTGAATACAACAAGATAATTGGGGAAAAAAAGATTTGACCGGTCGACAAAACAAAATAATCGGAAAAAAAGAAATAATAATAAAAAATAAAAAAAAGGTTGTCCGATACAATATAGTAGTGATAAACAAAAAGAAAATTTGAAAAAGCCAACGACAATCAATTATCAATTGATGAAATTGGTCTTAAATTAGGCTTTCAAACTTTTGAATTGGATGTGTTGAAAGGGTTGGGATAAATTTTGTGAAATAGTACTTATGTCAATAGATTTGTCAACTAATTGACTTTTATGTAAAAGTAAAGAAAAAAAAAAGATGTATTTATTCCAATTATAAATGGTTGTAAGGGAAGTTTAGCTCATTTCCTCTAATATAATCCTTGTACTATATCACATCTTTCATAGAATTGTGTAGTAGGAGTTGAAATTGGACTCAACATCATTTCTAAGTTTTAATTAACCAAACATTTGTTACATCTTCATTATATCTAATAGATTATGATTCTATCAAGTGGTATCCTTGTTCCCAAGAGAGGCCTAATTGTTCTAACCATTTAGGTAAGAAATGCGATAAATGTCTTTTCAGTTTTATTAATACCGTTATGACTTTAAATGTTACTTTGACCATTTTAGATTCGGTATTTGACAAAACTCAGAACATGAATTTTGTAGTTATTTGTGTTAACTGTCTAATTCAACTTGAATCACCAAGATTGGATGTCATATGAGAAAAATATACATGTATCAATGAACATTGCCACAATTTTGATGTTTTGAGTTATTTCGAATTCAAAACGTAACTCATTCCTTCATAATTTTATCACTCGACATCCAATCTAAGTTGATTCAAGTTGGATTAGAAAGCCAACAAAAAGAGCTACAATTTTCGTGCTTTAAATGTTGACAAAATCAGACTACAGAAGGGTCAAAAACACGTCTGTAGGTAAGACGATATTCATAAACTGAAAAAGACGTTTAACATTTCGGTTTAGGTAAATACGTGTCTTGCCCTTGTCTGGAACTATATACAGCTTAATCAGTTAATCTTGTGCTTCAAATCCAAACTTTATTGAACACTAACCTGTAGGGATGGAAAATAATTATCACCTACTGAATACCACGGTTTACCTACTAAATAATACCGAAAATTTACCGAAACTTCGGTTACCACTACATTTGGTACGATATTGGTACCGTACCACTATTATACAATACAATAGCGGTATTGTATTTGCAGTACTATGGTAATACCGTACCGTACCACAAATTTGAATTTTATAATTTTACTAATATATATTTCTTTTATATTGGTAAATAATTGATAAAAATTAAAACTACAGCATAAAATAAATAGGTCAAAACTTAAAAAGTTAAAATACAATTCTTAAAAATGTGTTTTATGAGTCAACAAAAAAGTGTACATCACATTTCATTTTCACTAAAATAGTGCGGTTGCAAATTAAGTTTGAAAAGAAAATTCACGACTCTATTGATTTTAATTTGCAAGGTGTGGCTTAATCAATGAAGTTGAAGTTTGATAAATATTGGGGGAGGTTTGAGAAATTGAACAAGATCATACACATACCGAATGTTCTTGGTTAAAGTGTTAGAATCTTTTATTATGTTCTCATAAGATCGTCTTATTATAACTTATACATTTAAAGTGTAACAATTTAAAATTATTGGTAGAGTACCACGTACCGATATACTGAAAGTAACGGTGTACTGAATAATGGTATATCGTAATTGTTGGTACAGTAACGGTATCGAATTTTCTAATACCTTGCTCAAAATATTCAGCAACCGTACCGTAACCACCTCTACTAATGTGTTTGCGGTTGTGTAAGGTCTATACCTAATACCAGAATGGCATTAGTATGTCCAAAGTTTCAAAAGTCATTCTACTCCTTTTGTCACATATTATTTGTTTCTTTGGGAATATTGTTGTTTCAGAAATCATTTCACTTTAGAATTTCTAGAAAGTATTAATTGGATTTGTTTTTCAATTTTACCCCTCATATCACTCGTAATTAGTTAGTTGAGAAACAACGGATGACAAGGGTGTTTTCGTAACACTATATTGTTTTGCTATAATCTATGCATATCTATTGAGTTTCTTAATATATGCACAACCACAAAAAAGAAATGCAATATCGGACGAAGGGAGTATCGCCTAACATGTAATGAAGAACAATGATCCATCATTAAATAGCGATGACTGCAATTTATCTGAACAAATATAACTCATTATTACAAATCCCCAGCAATTGAAACTGCAACATGGCATGAAATAATCCATCCAATAACTAACCTATTTTAATTTATTACATCTTCAAATACAATAAAAGTAAAACATCCATTAATTGCCAGGTGTCCTCCAGCCAAATTCATCCATCAAACTGAAATCTCAAGAGAAGAGAGTGAGCTATTCTGATCTGCAGAAACCAACACAAACACCAGAAACACTATTAAAAACTATCTCCTCAAACATACAACATGCCGAAGGTTTCTTATTCGAGACTTCATGTATTTTTCCATGGATAAATTTGTTAATTACCGATTACGTTTTTGAAAGCATTAAGATCTCCGCTGAAGATATAATTCGAAACAATAAAATATTATTCCATTTTTACTTATCCACTGGAAATATGTCATGCAAGCAGAGTCGGATCGGACACTGCTGCGTGACTAAAAAATTAGGAAAACGAAAAACTCAAATCCTATATCATTCATTTTCTCGGTACTTTTCATGGGATTATGAATATGACAAAATGAAGTGTAAGTTTATTCGACAGAGTAGTCGATGAATGATAGATGTTAAAATCATCAAGTAGCAACGAACATGCTTTCCGTGAATTTAAATGTTGGATAAAAATAATTAGAGTTTGTGCATAATAATATATACTACTTACCACGCAATATTATCCCAATGTAGAAAACCGCCGTGACCTCTTGCATTTGTAAACTTGTAGACTGGACCAGAAACTAAGGCACAAAGAATATTCCGACTTATTAAGCAGCCAAAAGACACAATGGAAAAAAAAACAGCAATATATATATATATATATATATATATATATATATATATATATATATATATCAAGAAGTACCTTCATAACCCTCGAGAACTGGATCCTCTGCCAGTAAAATAGGAGTGTCCAGATCGATGAATCTGCAAACAAAAATTATCCGTCAGATATTATAATAAAGCTCATAAATAAAAAATAAAAAAATTAATGCTTACTTGAAACAGCCGAGTCCAGCGGCTAAGTGACCAGCAAAGCCCATAGCAAGTCTAGTTTCGACCATACCACCGATCATCAAATCCAGACCTGATGACCTGGCTAAATCGATTATTTCGAGAGAACCGAGTACTCCCATTTTGGCGAGCTTGATATTTATTACATGCGCAAGGTTTTCGTTGACTATTCTCTTTGCATCTTCTAAACTACGACAGCTTTCATCTGCAGCAACTGATACTCCGTATTTGTTTTTCGCGACATCGCTGACGTGACCGAGACCTTTCCAATCGTCTCTGTGTACTGGTTGCTCGAAGAGAATAGGTGTCACCTCCATTTCTGCACACATAAGAAAAAATAATAATAAATAAAATATAAATATTAAAAATAAAAAAAATGAAAAACCGTATAATTTCTCCAGAATAAGTTTACTGAAACACTAAATGTCGTTTCAATTTTATTAATACCGGTTTGACTTCAAATGTGATTTTGACCATTTTCGAGTTTGATTTTGACAAAATTCAAAACGCAGAACCTTTAGTCCTTTGAGTTAGCTTTCTAATGAAACTTGATTCAGTTATATTGTGATGTCGGGTGACAAAGTTATGCATGAATGAGTTACATTTTAAATTTTAGATAATTGAAAACATCAAAGAAATAGGCGGTATTCATTCATTCATTCATTCATTCATTCATTCATGCATATCTTTCTCAGCCGACATCCAATCTTCCTGGTTCAAATTGAATTAGAAAGCCAACTCAAAGGAATACAAATTTCGTATTTTAAGTTTTGCCAAATTCAGATTCAAAAACGGTCAAAATCACATTTGACGTTGAAACAATGAGTATTACCGTGTAATTTTTGCAAGACTTGAATGGCTTCGTCGGAGCTATAACCTTCATTAGCATCTAATATAAACGAGCAATGAGGGTGAACATTCCTTATAGCTTGAAGAACTTGTATGTCGACATTCAAATTCTTCCCTACTTTAAGCTTTAAAGTCTCGAACCCTTGAGCGCGATATTTCGAAGCCAGCTCAGCAGCTTCATTCGGGGAAACTATTGGAATCTGGACATATAATTGTTAATAATTAGTCAATCAATCAATCAGTGCAGTTATTTTCAAGAAATGATGAATAGAGAAAGTAACTGAACTGTTATATCTGTCGTAATTTCGTTTGAAACTCCACCGGCAAGTCTCCAAAGAGGTATCCCAATGCTATTTGCAACTGCGTCAATCAACGCCATCTCGATTCCTGCTCTAACCTTCAGAAACCGATGTAAATCGATAAGATTATCTGTTAAAGATTATAAACAGGGAAGATAATTTCTATTGGGCCTTTACTCATGTCTAATACATGTAAAAACACTAATATAGTCCTATAACGATTTAAAAAACTCGACGAAATATTTGATTAAGTTCCACACCCAAGAGCACTACAAAAAAAATAAAAAATAAAAAAAAATTGAGTGACAACACCTATTTTTCACATGATTAGGCAAAAAAATATTGTTGTCACTCAATATATGCATTTAGTGACAACTTTTGCATTTGTCAGGTGTCGCTAATGCAATTTTTTTCTTGTAGTGAGATCGTCAGTTCCAGTTCGACATTCAACTTGGGAAGCTAACTTATATCATCGTTATATGTGTATATGTATATATACATGTATGCATCAGTGCATGTATACATATGTGTATCACCTAATACAAAAATTAAAAAAATATATATAAAAACACAAAATGAAGAATGGATTGAATAACTTACAGAAGCAAAGGAATGGCCGGGAAGCAAGTCATTGATCTGATTCAAGAGGAGGCCCAATGTCTTGCCGGAACTGTGTTTGAGAAAGAGGCATGCATCTGCAGCTTTAGCCAAAGCGGTGGTCTGATCCTCTGCGGTCACGTGCGGGAGAACAGGTGACTCGCCCCAGCCCACGCACCCGTTACTCAATTCGATTCGGATCGCCACGTTCTCCACTCCTTCGATCCTCGACGATGCAATTGTGAACGGCGATTTCAGCGGCACGTTCAGCGGCCTCCCTTCCGCTCTCTGCACGTCGACGGCGAACGTTTCCATTAAATTTTTGAACCCTAGGCACGTGGGAGGCGACGCCGCGGCCATGGAGGCGGATACGGCGGTGGGGAGCTTACATTGTGGTGGGACTGGGAGGTAATTTGTGGTGAATTTAGATATACTTGAGGAGAAACAGAGAGGCGGCAGCGGCGGCGATTGCGAGGAGAATAGGGCGGAGGGACCCATTGAAATTTGGGGAGGTGTGATTGGAGGAAGGGGGAAGTGTGATGTGGGGAGGAGAAGGTGAAGGTGGTGCTCTCTGCCAATTTGCCATTGTTAATTCTATTCTTGGTGCCTGTTGTCTGTTGTTGATGAGTGAGAAACTAATACTATTTTTTTCAGGAGAGAGAAAACAATTATTTTAAAAAATAAAAATTATTATTTTATTTTGTTGCATTTAAAATGCGAGGAAATGTCGTGTTAATGAATATAGAATGGTGTTGTTGCAGCATGTGTTTGTCCTTTTCCCCGGCTCGGAGAAAGAGACTTTATTTTGTTTTATATATTTTGTTTTTTAAATGGGGAAATATGCAATACCCCCCTCATTTGGAAAATATTTTGATTTAAACCCAATTGACTTTAAAGACTTTTTCCATAACCCAAATCCCAATTTAAATTAGTGAGACCCCCCTTATCAGATATGGTAAGACTAAAATACCCCTATGGGTTAGGGTTTTAATTTTATTCTTCATTTTCACACACACTCTCCCACGTTTACTCTCTCTCTCTCTCTTCTCTTTTTTTTTTTTTTCTTTTTTTTTCTTTGCAGAGAGAGCTCTGTTCTCTTTCTTCTTCTTTTTTTTTTGTTTTTTTTCTTTGCAGAGCACAACCACCGCCGCTATCCACCGAGATTTACACCAGTGCCGCCGTTCTCCTTCGAGATTTCTACCGGCATCGCCGCCCTCCTCCCTTCTTTTCGCACCACCGCCATTATCCACTCACCCAACCACCGATCACAGCCGCCGCCTAGGGTTCTGCCGTCAAACCTCCCCAAAAAGTCATATTGTCGTATGCGTATGGATATGTGGGTCTGTGTGTGTGTTTTGTATGTGTGTGTGAAATATTGCAACTAAAAAGTGTGTGTGAAATGTATCCGTGTGTGTGTGTTTTTGTATCTCTGTGTGTGTGTGTTTTGTATATGTGTGTGTGTGTGTGTGTGTTTTGTATATGTGTATGTGTGGAACTATTTCTTCTTAACTTTGTATGTGGGTCTGTGTGTGTGTGTGAAATGTATCTGTGTGTGTGTGTGTTTTGTAACCGATTCGACCGATTCGACCGATTTAGTTGAGTCAGACGGCGGAAGAGAGGAGGCGACGAAGGAAAACTCCGATGTGCAGAGTTCCGCCAGTAGATCGAGGAAGGAGGAGGGAAGTGATAAGGTGCGCCGCGGTACTATGAGTGGCGATGAGCGTGAACACGACGATCAATCTCAGCCGTGAAGGAATTGTCTGCCGAATCGCAGCCGTTGGCTGACTTTCTGCATGCTATCCGGGCTCATAAGCTCGGCTCTGTCTTCGAGCGGCGGCTCCGGAGTCAGGTGACATATTCATGTTCATTATTCTTTTTTTATTTGCAAGATCTTTATTTATTTTATTAGTTTATATTTTTTAAGATGATTTTTTTGTTTTTTCACAATGGTTTGGTTTAGTGGTACGGTGCTGCACTACAATTGACGTGCTTTATTTATTTTTCTTATTATTAATTTAAAGATTGTTGAATATGATTATAGTCATATTCGAATATGTTCCATTTTATCGTTTCATGTTGACTTTTAATAATATGATTCAAATTGTGATCTTATTGTAAAAAAAATTTTTTTGCATTACTTGATATGTTAGTGTAAGTTTCAATGTGTTTGTTGTGACTGAAATGAATTCACATAATATTATATGAATTGCATTTAAAGAATAGTGCAGATTCATTCAGCAGAATTATTCACATAGTAGTCACATTCTCATGTTTTTTGTAGTGCTGCACATCATGTCGCCAACCTTGATGATTATGTTGAAGTATGGAGGGTCGTTTGGGGTGAAGATATGTCAGGGTGATTTTGTGTATGAAGACCTCGTCAACTCCCATCCCTCTCTCTCGTTATTTTTCTATCTTTATTTATGTATTTTTCGATTTTTTTTCTAGATCTGAACAGAAGTAGTAACATTACTAGTCATATTCGAATATGACTATAGTCATATTTATGTATTTTTCGATTTCTCTTCTCTTTTTTTTTTTTTTTTTTTTTTTTCAGATCTGAAAATTGTATTTTCTGATCTGAACAGTAGCAGTAACATGACTATTGTCATATTCGAATATGACTATAGTCATATTTATGTATTGTTTGAATATGATTGTAGTCATATTCGAATATGACTATTGTTGAATACGACGGTAGTCATATTCGAATATGTTCTATTTTATCGTTTTGAAGTTGACTTCTAATAACTAGATTCAAATTGTGATTTTTTTGTGTGGATGTTGATTGGATTGTTTTCGTAAACAATAAGGAACCTTCGTTGTTTTATATAATTTGGTGAACATGACTATACCACACTATATAATCGGAATTGTTAAGTTGAAAAAGTGAAAAACTGCAATATAAAAAATAATATGACTACAGTTAATATAGTCACATATAGTCATATTCAACTATAGTCATATTCGAGTTAATATAGTCACATATAGTCATATTCAACTATAGTCATATTCGGCTTTGTAAATCTGTCGAGAAAAGAATTTCAATTTTTTCTTTGAAAAAAATAAAAAAAAATTAAAAATATATTTTTATTAAAAAAATATTAAAAAAATAAATAAATAAATAATGGATAAATAAAATTCGAAAATAATAAAAAAATAAGAAATAAAAAAAATCATTTTTTTATTTGGTAGCAAATTTTTAGGGATTTAGAAGCAGATTTTAAGGAATGAATTAGATTATTGTTATGGAAAGAGAGAAAAAAAGGAATAATTGAGAATAATTATGTTAATTGTCATAAGGGTAGATTTGGGAATAAAATTTCTAGGGGGTTATCACAAAGAAAGATTTAAGGGGTGGACATATCACCATTTCTTATCTATATGAGGGGTGTATTGCTAATGACCCCTTTTTAAATTAATAAGAGGAGGACCACTACTTTAAATGCACCCTGGAAAATTCCGTTTGATACAGTGCCAAATTGCGGATAAGCCCATAGACCCCATGGTAAAATCGGCAGGAGCTAGGGAAACGTAGTTAAGGAAAACTCCTTCAAAAAATAATAAGAGAAAACTCTCTTAGGTAATATTTCATTTAATTTGGCTATGCTTTATAGTTGATTAATAAATTGGTATTGAAAAAAAAAATAAAAAAAATGGATGATGACCAGCGTGTGACGCAATGATAATATGGGCGCGTGACACAGTGGCATTGTCACGCAAAATTGGATAAAATAATGGGGAAATAGGCTAGACACCCCTTATTTCAAACTTATATAGGTGGGGATCCAAGTTGTTAGATGAATATAGGTGTAGGTCCTTTGACTCAAAATAATAATATAAGTTAAATAAAATTGTTAGTATATAGACATAAACACCCTCAATTAATTAGAAAACAAATCCCACATATTACTCTCCCATTATCTCCAATCTCACGTCTCTATTTATTTCTAATCTCACATTTCTTTTTCTTGTGGTCTCTCTCGTTACTCTCTCTTCTTTTCAAACCTTCAGTTTTTTCTTTTTTTTCGAATTATGTTTTTTGTTGAAGAAATACATAGATATGAATACAAATGATTTGTATGAGGGAATAGGAATACATAGAGAAAAAAAAAAGGCGGAGCTTTACATTATGAGACTATCTCTTTGTCGACAACAAACACCTCCTTGTTTACAAAAAGTTAGTTATTTGCTTCTCCCTCTCTCTCTAAATTTATGTATAGTGAATTTATATTTTTTTGTTTCATTTTTAATTGATTTTTCGCTTCACCAAACACCAAAAGAATTTAAATTGACAAACTAAATTTGAAACATAAAATTGAAAATTGCAAATAGCAATCCAAAACTGCAAATAGCAATCTATAATAATATTTTTTTGAGAATTGAAAAATCTGTTGGCATTGGAAGATTTTTTTGTTGTATTTTGCTTTTGCGTACTGTGTATTTTTTTTAAATTAACTTCTTTTTTTGTTTTGTTTGAATTTTAGATGATGTTAATCATATTTTCAATTTATTTTCAATTTGTTGTTTATTTAGATGGTGCATATTGGACTTTGCACTTTATTGTTTGCATTTGGTCTAGTGTAGTATGTTGTTTGCAGTTAAATAATACATATTATAATTTTTTAGTTGATGTTTGCTGTTTTGCATTTGAAGTTTGTATTTGATGAAGTTTGAGAGTTTGAATTTTGGCAGATTTCTTTTTTTCACGAATTAACGTGTTTTTTAATTAAAATTGAGAGAAGAGAGAGATTTGGGGGAATTTTATTTGGTAGAGAGATTTGGGGAATTTTATTTGGTAGAGAGAGTTTTATTTTCCATATTTTATTAGGGGTATTTTAGACACTATAAAAATAATAAATATAATAAAAATAGAGAATTAGTAATTGGATTTATAGATATAAAAACTCTTATAGGAGGACCTATAGCAAATTGCCCCTAAAATAATGGCTAAAAATGGGTGTGGGCGTTTCTCAAATAGAGCAAAATATTTTTGGCATCTCCCCATAAAAAAAGTAATGATTTTCTTTTTCAATGAGCCGCATATATAAGTATGGGGTTATTTTACATACCCCTACCTGCCAAATAAACCGGGGATAAACCTAAGTTCAAATCATCATTTGACATACTCTCTGGAGAAGCGAAAATACTATACTACCCTTATATGCAATTTTCCGCCAAACTGTATTCAGCATTTCTGGTCCTGCATTTATCATTTTCGCTGATTTTTTTTATTTATTATTATTATTAATTTTTTTTTATAAATCTGTTTGTTTAATTTATACATTTTTCTTTAATTTTTTTATTTATTTATTTTTTTAATTTTTTTTTCGTAAAATCAATATGTTTACTATACTGAAAATAACTACATCTAACTGTAGTAAACTATAGTCATTAGTAGTTATGTTTTTTTTTTGTCCCATATTTTTAGTCGATCAATTATGTTTACACACGAATACAAGCTTATACAAAAGAAATTCATAAACCCCAACAACAACAAAATTACAAATTTCAATATTTATATTATAAATTATCCCAAAACCAATAAAATACAAATCGCAAA